ACCATGCTAAGACAAGTAGAAGTTTTTTTTATTAAAAAAAAGGCTCAATCCATGAAAATCATATCACTTTTCTCTCGTCTAGTATCATCGAGTTAGGCCAATAGTTTTTTAGTGCATTCATTTGGTGCTTTTAGGATATGATCATATTGGACATCACAAGAGAGAATGCAAATAAGATGAATGAAAAGAAGCGAGCGAGAGATGAAAAACGTTTGATCGATCCCATAAAATAACATTATTAGGAAAACATGATAAAAAGTTTGACACATTATACTCATGAGCTATAATGAAAAAAGGAAAAGATAATCATAATAAGAGAACCACTCAATGTGAAAAATAATAGGCACTTCTTCATCAAACCAATTGCTCGGCTCCTCTCATTTGCTGATTTTATGTCATCCAATGATAGCATGTTAACTCATCCAAGCAGGTGACATGATTCGACAAAGGATTAGTGTTTGGGGGATTTGAGAAATCTTCAAATGCTATCGGGACTTTATCAATCAAATTACATACCTTTTTCTTTAAGCTCACATAGTTTGCAATACTATGACCATTGGCATCGTTGTGGTATACAAAAACTTCACTAGGCTTCTACCAATGAGAGAATGGCGACCGAAGTGGTGTAATTGTCACAAGAGCTATCCGACCAACGATTACCGAGTGCTTGAAAAGGTCGCTAAGAGATATGATAAATGATGGTAGTATGTCATTCAATTGCCCCTTGTTAGTATTCCTTGGAGAGTTCTAATTTAGTAATCAAGGTTGGTTGATGAGTTGTTGTGGGCTTCGGTAATGTGTTTGGGGCCGATGTTGGAGTTAAGGTAAGTGTTTTAGTGATTTAGTGGGGGTGATTTGATGTTTGATAAGGATTATATGGCATCCGGTATCATGGGAAGGTTGGTGTTTAGGTTATCAATCCAGCCTACATCGATCGAATTGGCATTTGTAGGAATTATGAACAGTGTAGATAGGTTAGACATATTGTTTTGAGGGATAAATCGACTACTATTCCTCCAAGAGTTATTCCATTGCCCTCTAGGAATGAAAGAAGATACTCTAATGTAATGTACCTCTTGGTCTTTTCTCCGGCTAAAGGATCGGCTATCTTTCCTAACATGATGGCTTGTTCTATCCATTCGACGATAGACATTATCTCTATAAAGTTGTTTGACTTATTACTTAACATATATTTATAATATGAAGCCTTAAAAGTAGTGACAAAAAAAGTAACCAATTCTCTCTTAAGAAGGGATGGGCGAATACGAGAACCTATTTCTTATCATCATTGAGTGTAGTCCCTAACTGATTCCCTCGAGCCCTTTTTCATAGATCGCAAGCTTGATCTATCGAGTGTTATCTCTAGTTTAAATTTATACTACCTCATAAATACATCCACTAAATCCTTCTTTTTTTTATCTTGGTTTGTTCTAAGTCAATAAACCAACCGAGAGCGGACCCATCGAGGCTCTCAAGAAAGAAATGGATCGGTAGTTTTTCATCATATGCCACCTCGACCATCTTATTCGGATAGATCTTTAAGTGGGTCCTAGGACATTGAATCCTAATTAACTTGGCAAGTTTGGGCACTTTAAACTTTCGAGGAATCACTACATTCGACATTAGACATTTATCTATACTCGAAAAGAGGATCATTCACATTTGCACTTTTTATATCTATCAAACATTCCTCAATGGCCATGAGCTTCTCGGTTTCTAGTTCGAGGCTATCTTTTCCCTGTTCGATTCATCAATGATGAAATCGGTGGTCACTCGTTGTCGGTGCTTGAACGAGTTTAAGGAAATATAAGAGTAGGGCTTGAAGGTCTAGAAGCAAACTCATACATGCCCCTTGGTGTAGGGTAGTTGGCATGATTAATAGTACTAGTAGGCTCTAAATGAGGCATACCAAGACGTGGTATCGAAGAAGCGGTTTGAGTGATTAGCGGTGACATGGTGGTGAACACTTTCAAGAAAACCAATAACCGACCGACTTCTCTTTGGACGATAATTTCTTAAGACATGTGATTTTGTCAACTTTGGTCCAATAGAGCGAGTAAGCCTAACAACCTCTTCCTTTAGTATCTCTACCTTCTTCCGGTGATTTTTCTCAGCGGAGGCCTTTCTTCATCCTTTTCCTTACCCTAGTATGGTGAATGCGTGAGGGAAGTATAGTTTTGATAGGTTGACCTATGTTTCTATTCAAGCAAAAGATAATAAATACAATATAAATAATATTTTAAAAATATAATGACACTCGAAACTAAATATGGAGTATTTATCTATGGGGGTGACAAAAGAACTCATTCATTGATTCTTCGATCCTCTTAAGTTTAAGGATGAATTTAAAATTCATCGGTAACTTTTTAAAGGATTCCAAAAAAGGAATTGCCTTGACAAATGATGGTGTTGATTACTCGATCCTTTTAAGTTCAAAGCCTTAAAATTTTTGCTGAATTCAGCCATCAAATGGGTTTGGACCTAAGTTCTCCGGTCACCCATCCCGAAACATTCATGACTAGATTATTTAGTCAAGATTTTAACATATCCAACTCCGCCTAGTGAATTTATACAGGAAAGGTGATCCTAGGGTATGGTTCTAGCCATTACATGATTTTATAAGATTTATCTAAGTCTTAATAAAGTCTCTTTTGGCCTAGGAGAATCGAGACCGACCAAGTGCAAAGGTGGTAATCATAAAGGATTATCGATTATCTATCGTGACGAGTGGCATTTTTCCAAAAGAATTGAGGTTTCGTGAGTATTAAATGGGGTGAAACCCATCGAGGCGCTAGTAATTCCTCCCTAGATCCTAAGGTAAATGCAAATGACATTTAAGATTATGCACTCTAATGTGTGCATAGCCATTTTTTCATATCTAGTCTCAAAACAAGAATTAACAAACAATAAAAAAGAAAATAAAGGTAAAAAAAAACATGAAATGAAATAATAATAAAAGAAACAAAAATACAAGGAAAACTAAGGCAAAAAGAAATGAATTTAAACAAGACATGTAAATTACATAAATTGAAATACATGTATAAAAATCTGTCATATTATTAGAAATCAAAATTCAAAAATTGCATGCAAAGCTTAAGCCTAAGTCAAGTCCCAATGTAATTGTTATTCGTCGCGAGGCAACATTTTTAGCAAGGGTGATGTATTTAGGCAAAAATTGGAAAATGAGCAAAAATGATTGGAGTCGCCACCTAGTATTATGGTTACTAGAAAACCCTATGACTAGTACTATTCGAGTTCCAGATAAGGGATTTATTACGTGTAGGAAAGATTAAAAATCACCCTACCCTATCCTATTTAAGGTAGGTCGCTTGAATACAAACTTTGATTTGATTTCTAATTTTTAATGGTGAACGTCTATACCTATCTCTCAAGCATTTTTCCATTACTCGAGTGATTTGGGACTTAGTCGATCGGTGACCTTATCCTCACTTTGTAATGAATAGTCTAAAAATGATGAAAATTAGGATATGCTGCTAACAAGGCTTAAATGGCATGCTTGAAAAACAAAACTTAAAAATGAGCAAATAGGAAAATAGACAAGACAAACGAATTAGCAAAATAGGCAAACATGTTGAAATAGGCAAATAATGGCAAAATAGGCAAATCAACGAATAGGCAAATAAGTAATTTTGCAAAATAAGCAAAATTGACAAATCAACAAGTTGAAAAAATTAACAAATAGACAATTAGACAGAATAGGCAAATTGACAAATAGGCAACTAGGCAAAATAGACAAATTAGCAAAATAAGTAACTAGACAAAATAGGTAAATTGGCAACATCGTCAAATAGGCAATTAGGTAGAATAGGCAAATAAGTAATTTGGCAAAACTTACAAATAAGCAAATAGGCAAATCGACAAATAGGTAAAATATGCAAATTGATAATTAGGTAAAATCGATAAACAAGCAAATAGGCATTAGGAAAAATTGAGAAATTGACAAAAATCGACAAGTTGAAAAAAGTGACAAATAGGCAATTTAGGCAAAATCGACTAATAGGAAGAATTGAAAAAAATTGACAAATAGGTAAAAGTTAGCAAAAATAGGCAACTAGTCAAAATTGACAAGAATCAATAAGTTGGCAAGAAATCGATAAGAATTGACAATTAAGCTAAAAGTCAACAAAGAATCGAGCATGTTGGCAAGAAATTGAAAAGGATTAGCAATTCGGCCAAAAGTCAAAAAATGGCAAGAAATCAACAAGAATCGACAATTAGGCCAAAAATCGACAAAAGTTGACAACAAGGACAAAATCGACAAAAATCGACAATTTGATCTAAATTGACAAAAAGCAAAAATTGGCAACTAGGCTAAAATTAAGGAAAGCCAACAATCGGACTAAAATTAGAAGAAAAAAATTCAGCAAAAAATCAATACCATGTGAAATTAAGCTGTTATAATGTGTATAATTAATTGTGTTTGACAAAAACCGATTCACACGACAAAGTCCAAGCTTATTGGATTTGACATTGTGTTTTTTATAAAACTTTCACGTAATTAATTTGACGTTATTATCGATGAAATAATCCCAAAAACAAATGAATTGAACCAATATATTTTTTAAATATTCAAGAATGCACAAAGCAACGGTAAGCATCAACACACATCCAACCGATAACAATCATCCAACCATTACAAGTATCACAACTTAATTTAAAACAAACCACCATAATTCAAATAAAACCACACAATGAAAAATAAATTAAATCAATTACACAATGCAATCATTAAACAAATTACGGACTCATATTAATACAAATCAAATTTAATATATGTAAAAATAAAATAAAGAAATGAAATAAAGCAAAGTGAACAAAAATTACTATAAACGAGCAAATCAATCCATTGAATTAGGATTCGCTCGATTCTTTTCAACCCTAATGGAAATTGATATTCGATCAATCGGGGAGGATAGACAATTGAGATCGACGACGATCAAAATTGAAGTGGCCACTAGCTGTAGTGGCATTTGACGACGATGACTACCGGTTGTGAAGTAGTGGCTACCGGCGAGTTTCGCACACAATCCGAGGTATGGATGCGTACACCTGTAGGGCTGGCCTCGCTAAAGGCCGCCTAACGTGTGGGGGGCTACCGGTTACGAGGGTATGGGTTGGCAGGTGCATGGGGTTGGGGCACTAAAAGATGTGTGCGTAAGGGGAGGCTCGCTTGTGTGTGCTGCGACGCTATAGGCGTACGAGCATACATGGGTAAGGCATTGGTAAATGTGCAAGTTGAAGAGTTGCCTAGAGGTCACGCACACCGAAGGCGCATTATGATGCTACTTGGAGGGCATACGGGCGAGCTGGATTATAGGACGAGTTGGTGCTTGCTTGTTATGTGTTGCACGCACAAGCGCTACCTATTATGCACTACGAGTCGGCCTAGGCATGCTCGGTGTCCTACAAAAGCCAATTACTAGTAAGATGCGAAAGAGAGCTAAAGGTCGTGGGGCGTGCGTGTGTGTGGAGGAGTGATGGGTGTGGCAAGCGGTCCGTGTAGATGAGTCGTAGGCATGATAGACAGTTCGTGTGAGGGATGGTTGTGTGTATGGGCGAGAGGGTGTGGGTAGCTGGAGTTTTCTAGTATGGAGGCTGGTGTGTGGTACTATGGCTAGGTAATTTTGGGAAGAAGGTGAACAATAGCTGTTTTTTGAAAAAAAAATGGCTTTATACTAATTTTTAGGGTTTTTAGCTAAAGTTTGATTTGGTCCCTCATTTTGCAAACTCATTTGATTTTTATCCTTTTCTCTTTTTAATTGCATCCCCAATTATTTTTTTTTACCCTTTTTTCTTTTTTTCTTTTTTTTTTAAAAAAAAGTTTGGGTGCAAACATGGATTATACCAAGGTGTAATACCTTAGGGGTTATCACCCAAATATTGGCATGACCTCTTCTTTTACTCGTGATGTGGTCCAAATTTTGGAAAATAACTTTCTTATGGCTAATAGGCAAAAGTTGTTCTACGATATCGGTAATGCACCGATAATCGGAAGATTAACATCGACCAAAACCACAACATCTAAAAAAATTCATAAGTTTGTTCACCTTTCATATTATTGTTAGATTTTGCAAACCATTTTCCTAACTTATCCTCTCTTTTTTTTTCAAATAACTCAATCGTAGAAAGGCAATTTGAAGGAAAGGAAACTTGACTTGCCTCCTTCTTCCCTAGATGACTCAATAGAGAGGAATTATCTTAAAAAAAGGCATGGGTCGATTAAAAAGACTATGGTAGTGGCTTTAAACCCACAAGTTTGATTGGTTTAAGATTAGAAGACTTCTCTTCTTCTTTCTCCTTCCTTGATGCAAATGGGTGATTCGATAGTTAGAATGACTCCTCTTTCTCTTCCTCCCTCGAGGTAGAAAGGTGGTTCAATAGGCTCCCAAGTCGAAAAACTCCTTTTCCTCCTCCTTCCTCCATGCAAAAAGGTAAGCTATTTTATACGAGTCCCTCCTAATCATGAGGACTCATCTATGGAAAAACGATGTAAGAAGTGATAAGGATCCTTACTTTAAGAATTTTTATATTGAAATCCTTATATTATTGATATTTGAAACAATTACTACTTCTATCATAACTAAAGAGATTGAAAGAAGACTTTCATCGATAGACTTCATCTCTTCACAAAATACTTAGGGAAACTTCAAAACCAAAGGATAGGATCTTTGAAGCTCGCTTTATTCCTTCGAATGCATCATTCAACTAAGCCTAGATTGGACTAAGTATGTCTTACTAATATTTTTTTGAAAATCATTTTTACCTCAAATTTCAATAAACTTACTTTGTCTAAATACTTCATAAGATACTGGAACCTTTGTTGGCTCCCCTCTTTGAGCGAAATTCAGAATTTAGGGTTCATTCACTTATATAGGTATAACATAAGGTCTTTAAGATGGCTTTCCTTTTCATTCTTTTTTTGACCAGACTTATGTTGATCACTATTTATATTCTTTCCTTCGTGTAAGTTTTACATTCTAAAGAACTACTAATACTCGTCAAATTGATCCAAGATTAATTGAAAGATGAAACTTCAATAGTTGTCTTAGTAGACAAACATTTTGAACAAACTCCAATCAACAAAACTCTAGTGGCTATAACTCAATAAAGTCCTAAAGTTCTTTCTATGGAAATTAACCCTTCTAGAATTTCTACCCCATGGGATCCATCCACTCGCCTTAATTCCTTATCAACCACAGCTTACGTAGGGCATACTAATGAAATCGATTCCTAGAACTAAGCTCCCGTCATAAAGACAACGAAGATGAGAGTTCGTCAAGTGATTCAATTCATAATTATAAAATGGAAGTGAATCTAGAACTAGATTCGTTATCAAAACTACCAACACCACTAAAAGTCCCTATTCAAACAAGCACGACTTTAGATCAACAAATCTAGTTTGTGTCCAACCCGATCGCGACAAGCTCTCTAAGGATCATAAAAACCTAATTTTTAATATCCGTTGAGTTTGTTAATCTCCTTGACTTCTTCCAAACTCTACCTTTAGATGACTATGAATGAGATCTATTTAAAGCATCAAAAAGCACTATTGCTGAAGCATTAAAAGAAGAAGAAAAAATATAAGGCTCATTTAAAGAAAACGGACAAGTCTCTCGTGAGAGGGATCTTAATCAAAACCGTTGTTACTCTAAATAGAGAATAAGTGTATTTAGACCATGACAAAGACTCGACTGGACAAAGAGATCGAAAAAATTGAATAAAACTTGGAGTGGTTGAAGGCTATTCAATCTGCTTTACATTTCAAAATTGCTCAAATCGGTGATGACATAAGCAGATGGTCGAGGCCGGATTTCACTTGTCAATAAGGACGCAATCGATCAAATTTGGTTGAAGCATTCATAACCTTTTAGATATTCTTAGGAGTAGAATACCTAAAGAATAAATTTGTACTAAATTTCAAATATATTCAAACAAAGAAGTGTTTATTTTTACTTCATTTTTTGAATTACTTAGTTATTTTTTGGTTTTAAATTTAACTTGAGATTCTTTATACATCCACCATAATTCGGAAATCGAAATTCTAAAACTTCTTTATTGGCTTCCCAAATTAAAGGAAAATAGGGCTTTAAATATTTTTTATTAATATCTCTATTATGCTCGACTCCTTATAGGCTTTTCGGTTTGCAAGTATTCCTAGAATAAACTTTTTTAATTTTGAAGGGACCTTCCCAATTAAGGGACATTTAACAAGAAGATAGTCCTTTTTCCTAATTAGAAGTATAACTTTCCAAACTAAATCTCCGATCAAAAATTTTTCTTTTTAATTTTTCGATTATAAGTACGTGACATTCTCTCGTTTTTGAATATGAATTCCGTTAAATGCCTTGATTCTTTTCAAATCAAGAGATTCTATTTCAACACACATGGCATTTATATAATCTATTCCAAACATCTTATTTTGTCTTGACACTCTTAAAGATTGAGTCACAATCTCGAATAGCAATACTACACCATGTCCATAGGTTAGTCGATAAAAACTTGTCCTAATACTTTGTTTAAAACCAATTCGAAGAGCCCCTAGAGTGTTTTGTAACAACTTATGCCAACTTTGAGGATTATTATTGATCATTTTATGGATATTCGTCTTGATGTTTTATTTGATACTTCTACTTATCCATTAGCTTGAGTATAATATGACATCGGATTTATTATATCAAAACCAAATTCTCTCATGAACTATTACATTTTAGCTTCATTAAAGACTAGAGCTTGATCGACGGTAATTGTTTATGATAAACCAAACATGTAAATGATGTTTTCTTAGATAAATCGAATAACGCCATTTTGGTTGATTGCATGGGCTCGCTTCTACCCACTTAGTACAATAATCAGTAACAACTATGATATATGAGTGGGATTGATGGATTAATTTCTCCAATTAAATCCATTGCCCATCCTCGAAATGGTCATGATTTGATTATCGAATTTAGTTCTACTAAAAACACTCTAGGAATATTGCCATGTTTTTGGAATGCATCGCATCCTTTAGCCTTTTCAACATAATCATTTCTCATCAATGGCCAAAAGAAACCATGGCATTGAATTACCTAACTCATTTTGTCTCTTACCTAATGCAATCCGTAAAGTCCAAACCGACTTTCCGTCATTATCCTTAGGTTTTATTTGGTAATCGGGAATAAAGTGATAGGAATGAAAATTAAGAAATCGAAATGATATTTTTATTTTTATACTCGTGTTTGGAATAGTAATAAGGAATTGAAATGTAATTTAAATTGTTTAATAATAAAGGTGATTGCGATGATTGTGGTTATGACAATGATGGTTCTAGTGGTGGTGGTGGTGGTGGTGGCGACGGTAGTGATTGTGGTGGTGGTGATGGAAGTGGTGATGGTGGTTGTGATGGTGGTGATGATGGTAGTGGTGGTGGTTACGGTGGTGGTGGTGGTGGTTGTAATGGTGATGATGATGGTGGTAGTGGTGGTGGTGATAAAAATAGTTAATATATAATAAATAAATAAAATATATTATTATTTTTTTAAAAAATCATTCTCATTCCTTGTTTTTATTCTCACATCATGTGGAAATAAAGTTATGTGTAAATTTTTATTTTCATTTTCACTCTTCATTCTCATTCCCACTTCATTCTTTTTAACCAAATGATACAATATAGAAATAAAACTTTCATTCTCATTCCCACTACTTTATTCCCGATTACCAAACAACATCTTAAAACTTCATCTATGTTGACACATATAAGCAAGATTTCATAGGCACTTTTCTAAAACAGACTCATCTTCTTAGAGTACATAATTTCTCATCAAATGTTTCATATGGGAATTACGATTCACTAATTCTAGATTTGCTAAAGTTTGAATGATCTCATCCCTCCAATTAGAGATTGATCGAAGGATAAAAATCATATCGAGATCTATCATTTCTTCACATTGATTAAAATTTAGAATGATTTTATCTTCAAGAGTAATTAAACCCTTGAAATTGCAAAAAAAAAAAAAAAGATCTAGTAACCAATAGCCATATAAGCCAGCTTTATTGGCTAACCAGTTCTTTTTTTAGGCTATATGCTCAATTTTGAATACTTCAATCCGAGATAGTAGATTCTTAATTCTCTCAAGACAATGTTATTAGATTTAGCATATCCTAATATCCGATTGATCACTAATTGAGAGTCTCTATATATTTCAATGGCTACTACTCTTTGGTCGGGATGAGCGCAAGCCTAATTATCAATGCTTCATATTCTTCTTGATTGTGTGTACATAGTCCTTCTAATATACAAACTAAATGTGTTGGAATCTCACTCGGTGATAGGAGTACAACTCCAATTCCTTGATCATTTTTGAACTAGATCCATCAAAAAATAACTTCCATGGGATCACCCTTAAGTATGCTATTTTGATTGAAAGTTCTGCATCAATACTAG